ACTGGCCACCATCCCGATGATTCCTTGCTAATGGTTACCTTCTGCTTTCGGTCAGTCAACCATACCCTAATCCACTGGACAGTGCTTTGGTGTATCCCAAAATTCCTCAGTTTCTCCACCAGGATATCATGGGGCACTTTGTCAAAGGCCTTGCTGAAATCCAGGTATACCACATCCACTGCATCCCCTCCATCTAGCCATCTCGAAACCTTGTCATAGAATTCCACAAGGTTTGTCTGGCAGGACCTGTTTTTGTGGAAGCTGTGTTGTGTGGCTGTCAGCCTCCCTTCCCTATCTAGCATCACTAGATCTCTCTCTATTATGAGCCTTTCCATTGTTATTCCTACAATGTACGTAAGGCTAACTGGCCTGTAATTCCCCATGTCCCTTCTACTACCCTTTTTGAAAACTGAAAATTGGGACCAGTGATGCCACCCTCCAGTCCTCTGGAACTTCACCCGTTCTCCATGAGGCCTCAAAAATGGATGCCAGCACGCATGAGAGAACCCCTGCCAACTCTCTAAGTACTCTCGGGTGTAACCCATCAGGGCCTGGAGCCTTTGTAATGTCCAATGCCTTGACGGGCCCCTTGACTTCTGTGGGAAGACTCTAATCTGTGCTCCTAAGTCCCCAGCCACATCTAATCTCCTATGCGTGCCAAGAGATCACTTGCCGGCACACTGCCACTCTGGACTCAAAATCCCATACACAAATGTAAATTCTTGCAGGGATGCTGCTGACAGTTGCATCCTGCTGTTCTTGAGTGAGGGTTCAGAGCACTCTGCTCATCTGCAAGCCAAACTCAATGAGTTGCCAGTCTTCTCATCCATCTTATCCTAAGGCACCTATCAAAGCTACTGCCAGAAGCTGGTACTTATTACTTTGTTCTGCTTTCTGTCATCCCAAAGAAGAGGGAGTTCCCATGTGTTCAAGATATATTTCTGATGCTGAGTGAGAATACCCCCTCTGCAAAGTAGCTTTCTCCCCAAAGTGAATCAAAACACATGTGCACCCATAGTTTGAGCTACACATGGGGGGAAGTCCAACACACAGTGATATTGACTAGCGAATGGCAAGCAGGGAAAGGATTAGGTGTACTCTCCCCATCACTTATCTGTTCACTGTTCTCCCTAAATCTGCTTTTTGGTTAGCTGTATAGTCACTGTACAAAGCTTTAGTGTGTGCGCATGTGCTCATATGTGTGTGTGTGTAAGGTCAGCGTTAAGATAGGCAAGCAGCAGTGCCGAGATACCCTAAGACTGCCTAAAGATACCTTCAGAAGCAGTTCTAAATACAGCACACCAACCATTATCTAAGCATTAGCAGATAATTGGTAAGACTGTGAGCAGATAAAATTAAGTGCATATGTGTGGCTATGTACATGGCTAGAGCTTTTGCTGAAATTTCTATTGCAGTAGATCACACTCTTGAATCTGCAAGCACTTTTCAGTTTTTAAAGCAACTTGTGTCTTCAGTGCTGTAAGCAGCCATATGGGAAACGTAGTTCATAGTTCTATACTCACGTCACACGTTACTATGCAAAATGAACACAGTTCACAAATGGTTCATTTTAATGATGGCTTGCTGGTTGTCCTCCAACCCAGAAAGTAGACTCCACTCTTGCCTTATAAATCAACACCTTCAAACTGCCAACCTGGTAAATGAATCCACATGCATTTACCACCTGATATAGTACAATTGATCTGGGGGATGGAGGAAATTAGTCTTAGCAGCTGGGATTTCAAAATGAGAATATAACCATTCATTTTATGAATGGAGTGAGTAAAGTGTGATGGGGAAATCTTTTTTTTTTCAAATGAGCAAAAATTAACAAAAATTGGTAGTCTCCTATAAAATTGTCAGCAGGCTTTTCTAGCAAAGTGGATGAGTTTTTTGCACAATGCATACCTGCCCTATGAAACTCATTCTCATATTGCCATTGCTATGGTCAGATGTTCTTCTGCTTTTATCCAGAAGCAGCGTTTTATTGCTTGCATCCCTTGGCACAGTGGTGCCATGGGATGGCCAGACGATTATACTTGATCAACTGTTCTTATATCCATTTATGTACTTCACTCTTAAATGCTTTCCAAATACATATACTTATTCCAAAAGCATAGCTCATTCAAGTAACTTCTGTGGCGCATCTCAGTCTTCCAAGTAACAGATTCAACACAGAAAACTACAGAGCAGGAATGGGGAACGTCTGGGCTGTGGGCCTAAATTGGCTCATGAAGCTCCACAATCTGGACTATTCTTTCACTACACCTTCCCCTCACTCAACATGACTGCAATGCACATTACAGCATCTGAAGTGAGAAGCTTTGAGAGTACTGACCAGATCTGCAGTGTGGATTAAAACTGGGATCTCTGTGATCCTAAAATTATCTGCACAGGTCAACTGAGGGGAGAGAACGTGATTTTCCTTCTCATTGTGATATACTGAATGGGTTCTAAACTTTCTACTACAGAATACTGCAATGAGACTTGACACTCTCCATTCCTGTGCTGACTAGCATAGACCTATTGAGGAGGGGAGAGAACTAGATTTTTACTCCCACTTTGGTGTGCTGGATGGAGAGAAACTGCAGTGTTTCTTTTCACCACTGAGTCGAGAGGAGGCCTAGCCATGCTACTGTAAGTGCAGATGCTGTCGCCTGTTGCGGGGGCCTTTCCTGGAGGGCTTCTTAGACCTGCCCCCCTACAGCAGCAACACTGCTCACCTTTCAGATTTTTCCATTCAAGTAACATACTTGTGAGGTACAGAGACAAGAGTGACTTTAGGGCTTTATAGATCAAAGCTAGTTCTCTGAAGATTTAACTACGTGTTCCTTTTTAAACCATGCCTCTGGTGCACAGTCCCAATCCATATCATATCTTTGCAGAGATATAAAACATAGTTGCAGGCTATGTAATAAAAGCAACATTTAATTTGACTCAAATTAAGTTTAGGCAGCAATAGGAAATGAAAGCACATCCTGATACACCAAAATGCTAATGTTAAGGTATGTGCCATGTACTCCTTCAGCTGTGGCCCTTGGACAATCTGTTCAGGCAGCTTGAAACAAAATGCATTGTAGAAGCCAGAACTTGTGGCTACAAACAATTTGTACTAACTGCATATTTTGACAACTCTGTTTAAAATTAGAAAACATATTAAGCAGAGGTTGCTTAAAAAGAGCCTAAGGATGAACACAACAGACCTCATTGAACACAGAGTGGCTTATTTCAAAATAACTATGCACAGGTTGCACTGAAAGTCACAGATCCAGAATAACTTTTCAAAAAGCCCGCATGAGACTGGGGGCCATCCAAAGCCTCCTACCTTCATTGCTTCAAACTCCCCTTAATTCAGTTTCACTTATCTCACTCATGTTTACTACGAAGCTGTGAAAGAACCATTTAGGAACAAGAGTTGAGAAGGAAAAGATGAGGTGAAAAGGAAAACTTTGGTGTCACTGGTATATTGATAGTACCTTGCTACAATCTCTGTAATCATCATGCAATCTCAACACTTTGAAAAAGGATTAATAAGATGGAACACTTAAAATGAAGACTCTGAAGAAATTGCTTCCACTTTCTGGCACTTCACTTTTTAGAATATGCAAAAATGCAATAAATTAATCAAGATGTTCCAAATCTATCTGCCACAGGTACCTAAGAATCATTATATTGAAAGTTCCCAGAATGTTTACAAGGATCCAAAGGATACCATCTGACCTGTTACTTTGTACACTGTGCCTGAGATGAACCTTTGAAGTAATACCAAGGTGGGAAACTATACTTTACACAATGAAATGATCACTCATTCTACAAACTTTCTGAATAAGGGAAAATTAAAAACTAAACTTAAGTTAGAGGATCACTGCCAACATTGGGTAAGACAATCACAGCTTCATGGTTATTTCAATTATGTCCAGGTCTGGGCACCACAGCTTAAGAAAGATCCAGACAAGCTGGAAAGGGTGCAGAGGAGGGCAACAAGGATGATCTCGAAACTGGAGACAAAGCCCTATGGGGAGAGATTGAAAGAACTGGGCATGTTTAGCTTCAAGAAGAGAAGACTGAGGGGAGGTAGGACAGCATTCCTTAAGTAATTGAAAGCTTGTCACAAAGAAAAAGGCCAGGATCTCTTCTTGATCATACCGGAGTTCAGGACAAAGAATAATGGGCTGAAGTTACAGGAAGCCAGGTTCCAGCTAGATATCAGGAAAAATTTCCTGACTGGTAGAACAGTATGACAATGGAACTAATTATCTAGGGAGGTTTGGGCTCTCCCACACTAGAAGCATTCAAAATGCAACTGGACAGCCATCTGAGTGCGATGGTTAACCTGATGTCTTGCACTGAAAAGGACCTGATGGCCCTCTGGCCCCTTCCATTCTATGATTCACACGCCAACCTCATGAGGAGATCGTTACTTCCTCTCACTCATCAGAATGCTTATAAATTCAACTTATAGCAGGGGACCCCTAATCCACAATACAAAAACCAGGCTTTGGTGAACACACAGCTTTCTAGATATTGCACCCTAATGCTCCTCAAGCCCAACCAGTATCAGTCAATAATAATGGGAACTATAATCTAGCAACATCTGGAGGGTCACAGGATCTCCAACCCTGCGATAAACCATGAGCAAGATCTTGATGTTCATTTCAGTTCTGTTCAGACGTTAGAGACATTTAGATCTATATGTCACTGCTATAGATCAATAATATTATGCCACAACGACCTTATTTTTTCTGACACAGAAAACTGAAGCCTAATTCATTGACTCTAATAGGAGTGGCTTCCAAGTGCCTTCACACAGGAAAAAAACATTGTGAGGAATCTCACAGTGGAAAGAGATTATGGACACAAATGATAATAATGCTAACAGCATAATGAGAAAAAAACATAAAAGCTTGGAAGGATTATCCTTTACTATTGGACATCTGGAAATATCTTTATTCAATCACAGAATCACAACTCTATGGACATTTAGTACAGCCATCACTCACATTCATATCTGTAGCTGAGGGAAAGCATCTACTGGAAGGTCGTGGTTTAATTGTTGCCACTCTTGAGTCCACAGCTGCATTGTCTGGAATTCTTGATGGCTTGGAAACTGGTACTATTTCATCAACTTTATCTGTAACACAGAAGTATTTGCTAAAATAAATCTAATTTGTTCAAAGACTGAAATATCTAAATATTGCAATGTAAAATAAAAAGTTTAACTTCTTAAAGATGCAAATAAAAAAGGGATTTTGGCAGTTTAACAAGGCAATGTTTGAGCATTATAAGTCGTGCAAGCCGAGCACTTTTATTGCTGCTGCGTAACATGCATGCTTTAGTTTTAAGCCTGCATGCATTTAATGTTTACTTAGTGTGACTTGAAAAACAATCCTCTTCTTCAAACCTTCAAAATGTGAAGGGAAAATATCTATATAGAAATGGAAAGAAAACCTTTAGAAATAGTACACCTGGAGAGCACTGTTTCACACAGTAGTCGCTAGACGTGATATTTTAGACAATAAAAAGTATTTTAAAAGTGCTCTTTATACTATTACTTTCATCTTGATGCCAGGCAATTAGACAAAACTATCTAGCACTGCTCTATCAGCACTTCGTTTTAGTATCTTAAATATGGAAGTGTTTCATAACTTCATTTTTTCTGACTTCTAAATATTATTTAAGTACTTTATTTCTGGGCCAATAAAGCAAAATTCATACCCACATTAGAACTTGTACAGAAGCTCAATAATTTATCAGGGCTGATTCTCATCACCAAGTTGCTAGTAATGAACAATTTTCTTTCAGCCTGGAGTATAATATCCCTTTATCTGTCAGTGAGGAAATGCTCATGGACAACTTCCATCATGGACTCTGTTCTAGTGTGCACAGTATCTTCAAAGAACATACTGAACGATGGCTAACAAACTGTGTTTTGAGATCATAATGGAAGTCATGGTATGACCACTTCAGTATGGGAAAAAGTAGGAAACCTCATCTGGGCTGGAGACAAGAAAAGAAAGCAGCCCATCATGGACAAAATTGTGGTGAGAATTGGCCCTCCATATTACATTCACGGAAGAAGCCAACAACACTAATTATATCTGCAAACTTTGTAGCTCCGTGCAGTATAGGGCAAACCTAACTACAGGCACAAACCAAAATAGATGCTACTACTTTTGAGTATTATTCTTTTTTAAGGCGCAAAGAAACTTTCAGATAAAATGTTAGTCTGCAACTAGATCACAGTATTACAATTGTTCATTACCATTCTCTTCGTATTAATGCTGAAAGCGAGGCAGTTTACTCATCTATAATCACACATCAATTTAGTCTCTGCGCAATCTGTGCTATAATAAATAGTGCTTTATACTTTCTTTGCCACACCTTCAGTATCAACATTTAGAACATGCAATCAGATTAAATAAATGCACTGTCTTAAAAAAAAGAATCTAAAGTTTCATTAAAAACCACTAATGAATCATCTTTTCTATCCATAGGGATCTGGATACAAAGCATAAATGCATACACAAAAAGCTGTATAACAGATGGAAACAACTCCATCCTATTTTTCTTATTTTTGACAACTGCATCTTAAAGACATCATACTTCCCGTTAACTTTCCTAGAATTACGTATAGCATAACTGCATTGCTAATTGCTTTAGGAAAAAAGAAAAAGAAAAACTGGTTCATTGATTATCAACTAAATACAGCCACCTTACTTTTCTACAGGTAATTCCACCCATGCAGAGAGTTGGAATTAGAGAATGATTAGAGCTACTCACTGGTAAAGAGCATATGCAGTCTCTAAGGGTCTGGCTTAGAATGGGAGAGCGGCAAAAGGAAATGGCTTTTAATGTAGCACATTAGATAAATGGAGAGATGCGTCGTGATCCAGGGCCCCACGCATTCTGGCCATGAACGCGAGGGTCCCCTGCAGGTGTGGGTTTCTTTCAATTCACTTCAGTGGAAGGGGCAGAGCTCTCTGAACTCAAGACCAGAGATGTCCCCACCACTGAACTGAGGAGAGAAAATCTTGTAGCTGGGTGAGTTTCTGTGTGTGCATCAGAGCCTCTCTGTCCACAAGGGATAGCTGGATCAGGGCAATGGTGTTTATAGAGGAGGAATCACAGTTAACTTCTCTAGATGAAAAGAAAACTACCCTGGAAAAGGAGATTGTTTTAGTCATTTAGAAGCTCTAGGTCAGCTGCTGATGTTATGACATTGAACAATATGACTGTAAAGATTATTAGTAAATATGTTTCCTGTATTCTAAATTTTGTGTTTGGCTTAAACAAAATCAAAATGATACAATAGGTTTGTACTCCATTTAGCAGCAATCCCCAAACATACTTTATTAAAACTATAACTGAGCCTTTGCAGTAAAACATAAAACCTGCTGGTTTAATCTTGGACATTTGGGTATGCTGGTGTATTCACCAAGAACAGCCAAGAGAGAAGATTTCGTATTAAGCCTCTCCAGCCCCGTAAGTGATCCTACAAAAACTGTCTGGGATCCACTAAGACAGAGTTTGAAGATGGGAAGTATTTGTTACTCAGTGTCTGTAGATTATATAAAATTGCACATAAAAACTCAGCACTCTTATAACTGAACAGACACACATAACCCATACACTAACCGGACAATGAAAACTACAGGGAAAGAATAAAGAGGCTTTGAAAGACACTTGAAAAAGCATGGAAATAGCCACTTTGAAAATGATAAAAACCATGCATACCTTCAGCTACTGGACTTGCAAAGACAATACTGAGCACTGGATCTGACTACTGAATCAGTTTGCAAGTATTCTCTAATAATCTGATGTTGTGGGAAGCTCTATTTTTTGTTGATCTTATAGCTTTATCCTTGGCAGCTCATTTCTCCTTGCCCTACTCCCACTCAAATTGTAGATATTGCGCCTCTTTCCAATCACAGACAAGAATAGTCGAAGCAAATTGGAATAAGAATTGGAAGTAAGGTTCTATATGTGACTACAAAGAAAGAAGGGATACCTCAATTCCGCAGACATTTTAACAGCAGTTAAAATCTGACAGCATTGCTAGATGGCTTTAGGCTTGCAATTTTGTGCTATTTAAAAAAATTGGCATACTGAAGTAATACAAGGGGTGTAGAAAATCCAAATACACTCAATGTATTAAATTTAGGAAAGAATTCCAGCCTTTCCAGCAAGTTATATTTGATTTGTCTGAAGTTAAGAATAGTTACAAATTACAGCAGCATTTTGACAGATTCTGCAGTTCTTGACAAATTCTTAAAATCCTTACAACCCGCGCTCCCCAGTCCCCCCATACTTCTAGAATGATATACTGCAAATAAAAACAGTTCATTATATGGCACAGCTAGACTGGATGTAACAGTCCTACAGGTATTTGTTCAACACAATGCCTTTCCTTTTTCAAACATACTAAAAGGTATGAGGGAAAAAAGATACTGAGGGCTGATTCTCAAAGAGCTGTGTAACTTGTTTCTGTGCAGGAGTTTAAAAACAATATTAGAAACTTAACAAAGGCTGTCAATTCGGACTTGTTTGTCACACTTGCTAGTTGACATTTCCCCTTGATTTTAATGCTATGCAGTTTTGTAAAAGGTGTATTCTTGCATCAGTGAGAATGACTCTTACATGCTTCAATTTGAAACGCATTTATTTACAAAGGTATCTGTAACATGTTAAATAAACAAACAAACAAAAAATAAAAACAGGCACAGATGGGGCGCAAGTGGTATTACAGGTGTGGATAGGGATAAGTGACACTGGAAATTCCATCCCATTTAAGCCTGACAAGATTCCACAGCATTTCCATTCTGGTAAGAGACAGCGGACTGTTGTGGAATTTTTTTTCCAATTCCAGAAATATTTTGTGCATTTGGGGAGAGGGGTGCCATCATTTGTGCAAATTGGAATTTAAGCACACAGGGGTGTTGAGATTTCCCCAAAGGGTGTCTCAAAAAAAGGTTTTCTTGCTCAACTATGCATGAGTGCAGTTCTGCCTGTCCTCTATGTAATCCCACAGAGGCATGGATCCCTCTTGTAAATATTCCTTTCGCTTCATTCGCACCATACACTCCTTTGTTTAGTCCAACAGAGCCATATTCTGCGCTTGTCAAATAAACTGTCAGTTCCCGCTTTCCATCTCACTTGGTTTGTGAAGGGAGAAAAGTAGAAGGGAAAAATCAGCAAATTCTTTGGCGAGTATGGAATAGGGCTCTATCAGGCTAAATAAATTAGTGTGCAGAAATGATGAAACTGACCAGGAAATTTACAAGAGGAGAATATGCCTCTTGTACAGAAATTTTTACAGTGATATACAGAGAAGAGGCAGGCTTGTGATCTTGTGCACTTGTGTGAAGATGCCCAATTAAAAATAATTTTGAAATTACAGTAACATTTACACAAATTTCAAGATCCCCCCACCAGACTTGCACAAACCGCTGCTATTAAAAATGGAATCCACATGTTGGCTCAATTTGCCACAGATCAAGTCGATGCCAGTGGGGGAAATGGAACAAAATCCACAGGGCTGAACCAGAAAAATCCATCATGTTTTCACTCCCCAAATGGAATTCTCATACATCCCTAGGTGTGAGAGCTGACACCTGAAATACAGGGTGCATTTGAGCATATAGTTAAGATAGCCCACCCACAGAAGCATTCTTAATCAGAGTACATCTAGATCTAGTTTGTGTCAGGACAAATATTTTGAATCCAACGTTGCGCCTGCAAAGTGCCTGCCTCAGGGGTTAGCCCATACCAGCTGCATCTCATCATTAGCCCAATCATTTAGCAAAAAGCAGCCACAAGCAAATGTTTCACTAAGGAGCACAATATGGCTGGTTTGTACTGCAGCAAAATGCTTCCTCCTCCTATTTATCTTCAGTCTCAGAGAATACGGGTTGCTGTGACAGTCCATAGAAAGTTTAGCTATATCCACCAGGTTGGATTAGTTATGGGTTTGACAAATATGCTGTTGTGACTCTTCAGGAAAGTTAGTTTAAAACTGGAACGGGACAGCAGTAACTACTCTGTGCTTGTAATAATGGTAGCAGCCACTGCCTAGTTTTCTAGTGAAATAGGATCCTCAAACAATAATCTAGGACCCATTCTGTACTCCTCACA